TAGGATATGTGGCAAAATCATGACCATTGGATTTGATGTTTTTGATTATTTTTTAAGTTATAATTTTTTTGTTGTATATACAGCAAATTATCCCAATGTTAAATGATACTAGAGAGATACCCACGTATACACGTGGGTTTGTTCTTAACCATCATTTTTATCTCTTAAATTAATAAAGTCGTGAACTTCTTTAAAAAAATTATTGTACATATTACCCGTTTAAAAAAAAATTGGTACTTTTTAATATTAAACTAATGTTTTACAACCGGCTATTAAAAAGGTTATAACTAAGCGTATAAAGTTAAAATTGATTGGTTTAGAGATACTAAAACATTGTTCGTAATAAAAATGTAAACTCATAGGTTAAGAGTTTTTTACATGCATCTAACGGTTACTTATCCATGTCTTTAACAGCCAGCGCTCGTTTTCGTACTTGACCTGGAACTTATACCAATACACGTACTCGAATGTACTAATCTTAATAAGCTACTCGAATCCAAAATCTACATGAATGTTTTACCTCATTCTTTGTGAGTTCTACTTCTACATATACACTTCTACCTCATCATATCTGCTCAATCTCACTTATATAGTTATACTCAAAATATAACTATACCGCCCACTAAAAATCTCCACATTTCTTCTAACTTTACCTCCCATTAAAAATCTCCTCATCTTCACCGTCTTCATCTAGGCCATCTTCTTTTGAAGTGTTGAATAGATATGGCCAAAATCGAGAATATGACATGTGACAAAGAAGAGGATCTCAAGTGGTAACACAAAAGACAAATATAATAAATTAATATATTGACCATTAGAATATGAAGAAGCCGCAAAAGTTTTAGCGTTCGCAAGTTTTCAAGGGATCTTTTGAGAAAACAAATAAATGCCCAAGTTGTCGAATTTGTGAAATTAGTTTTTTCCGCTAAATTTGTGATATTTGTTGTGTTTAAATCTAAATTCCAAGAGGAGCTGAAGAGATGGAGAGAACAAAGACCAACTGACAAAG